GGGTCCTGACCGGACGTTCAGGCCCTGTACCTGGACCGATGCGGCCTGTCTACCAGTGTACCCAGCCCAAGGCACCGCCTTGGGGGCGACAGGTCCGAAACGATGTCCGAACAGACAAAAATAGGACAGCGAATAAATAAATAAATAATTAAATGCTGCCTTGCAGCCGTACCTGCGGCCTGAGGGCCGCCGTGGGCCTTCAGGGCGCGTGTCCGATGGGCACGCGGCCTGGGGGGCCCTCAGCAACCGCCGGGCCCCTTAAAAGGCGCCCGTGTGCAGGCGCAGCATGTAACAGGGGATCAAAGCAGATAGTTGTCAACTTTGTTCTTTATTTTTCCCAAAGCTAAGTTATACTCTTCTCTCAATTTCACCTCTCACTACCTGCTACTCCTTAGCCTATACAGGGGACCCCTGCAAGCATAGCTATCTCTCACCATAGTAAAATTGGTTCCAGGCAACCCAGTTCTCATGGAAAGGCCGACCTCCTTGTACACGGCCACAAAATTTGCAGACCATCTCCCGAACTGGTGGTTTAAGAAATACACGCACCAACTGGGTGTAGCTCAGTTGGTAAGGCGTTCAAGCGAGCCAAAGTGCAAACAGACTCGACTTATTCACACTTTTCATGCACGTGAACAGCAGCACACAACTGGCGACATGCGCCCACACAGTATACAGAGATATGTCTCCCAGGTAAGTTCGCTTCCACTAGCTATGGCGACTGAGCGCCCTTACAACTCACTGTTCACACTCTGGATCACCCTGGATGTCCCACACGCAACACTCTGTAACCACACGCAACACTCTGTAACCACACGCAACACTCTGTAACCACACACACACTACTGCAGCTATGGCAGCGCTAGCTGCCACTACCCTAGCGCTATACTACACTCCTCTGCCCACTTTGTCTCCGGGCACACTGCAGACCTCCTCGCACAAGCTGCTGAAGCAGCGCTTCCGCATGGCATCCGCAGGAATGAATGAATGGCTGGACGCAGCCTCTTGATTTATAGTTCTGCGCTGCGTTGGTCTGCCCTGTGTCCCTTGGCCTTCGGTGCACACAGACGGTACTTGCTGGACAGGACCGGACTGCTTAACTGAGACTGTTGACTCAGCGAGGTGGCCTACCACCACTTGACCACTTGCCTCTGTTCAACGCAGGCTCATTTCAAAAGGCCACTTCTAGAACCCTCTGACTTGGCCTTTCGGTACTGTAGCAGCTACGACTTTGCCCCTTCAGGTAAGTAGCAGCTACGACCTTGACCCTTCAGGCATCCTACAGCTACGACTTCGGAACTGTCTAGACTCCTACTCTACAGGTCTACAGTTCGATTCCCTTCTACCCTGTGACCTACGACAATCTACCTACCACTGGTGTTCCTACAGGTCGCAGGTTCAAATCTACGGGTGGACATCAATATTGTACACAGGTAAGATGGGGAACTAGGGATCGAGCCCTGGGATCTGCATTCGCTACTGCGAACCGGTGAATACCGTTTCACTCCCGCCGGCCTAAATTCAAGGTCCTCCGAGAAAATTTCAGTCCAAGGCAGGACCTTTACCCCTCTGCTGTCTCTCATAGGCCCGAACTATATTGGGAGCTGTTTCTAGAAGTTCAGATCTTGTAAACCAGCGGTCGTCTTCCGGTTCCTGATAACTAAAACGAACCTTGTACTGTTTTTGTGGATGACCCCTACCTCCAGTTCTGAATACATCTTCAGCCACTATGCCATCGATGTCATACCTTCCATCCATATCGGGCGGTATCATAGATCTACGGGATGGAAACTGATCACTTGTTTGACAAGGTAACAACTTCGACGCATGGAAAACTGGGTAAGTATGGAGGTGCGCTGGGAGTTCTATAGTATAGGACGGTCCATCTTCGCCGCCCTTGACTTCCAGAACAGGCCACGGTCCCTCTATATGTGGGCAGTAACTTCTGCGAGATGTTCTCTTCAGGCGCAAACTCTCTAGAACTGACCCAGACTAAGTCGCCTACTTGAAACTGTGAAGGGCGACGATGTTTGTTCGCCTGCTCTATCATCCTGTGCTGGGCTTTCCTGAGGTTCTCTACGACAGTAGCTAGTTCTTTCTCGTGCTGTACAGCAAACTCCCTGGTCCCGGGTGGTAATCTGTGAATCTGATCCCGGTTGAGTCCTTCAAATGGTCTGCGCGGTCTAAAGGACTTGTGTAGTTCGTTGGGAGTGCGGCAGGTGGACAAATGCACGCTGTTATTATACGCACTAGCTACTTTAGGCAACATCTCGTCCCAGTTAATCTGATCTGGCCTAATGTACATGCG